GCAAGCTTTTATATAATAATACACTAAAAATAAGAAAATAAATTATACACTACCATTTAAATAAATATAAAGAAAAGCGTGGGTCTCTTCATAAATATTAGTAAAGGTATCCCATAAATAATAAAGTTACCTACGCTTTTCTTTATGGTTATTCAAATCGTATTATACAATTTATTTTCTACATTTTAGTGAATTATTACATAAAAGCTTGTTATTAAAACTTTGTTTTTTTATTTAATTTTTTAAAGTTTTTAAAGTAGGATAGAATCTTGTAGGAAAAAGAATTGCACACCAAGGGAACGCCAAACAAAAAGTGTATAATAGTGCGAAATATAATTTGTACTTTAAAAATTCACATTCGTTTTTTTTTTTGAGAAATCGGAAATAGCATAAATTACTACTTCCGCTCAACGGAGGTTACTCAAAATTCAACAGAATGCAGATAATTTGATCTGTCGCTTACTTGTCAAATTTCGTTTATCTATCTGAAATAGTAGTCAAATTATAGGCTTTTGAAAAACCAAAAGTTTGATAAGTTCCACTTCCGATTTCCGAAAATCGCTGAAACGTTGATACAGAACAACAAATAAATACTTATATTTGAATTTTCATCAACATAGCTCTAACAGTACTCAAGTTATCGTCTTTACAGACACACATACACACACAGACATACGGACAGAATTGCAAAGCCCAGTTTTTCCGTTTCGATTACGCATAGAACGCTGAAATTTTGATAAATCTGCATTTATTTTTTTTTTGCCCGATTAAAATAAGTCCCATATACTCCGTATATGATGAAGTACTCAGGTGTAATACGTTGAAAACTGTCAACATTTCATGTGCATTTTGTAAACTATTACAATACTTCCTCTATATTCTTTATACGAGAAAATAAAAATAAAGTGTGCTTTAATTAATTATTATTTATAAAATTAAATACATTATTTATTTTTTAGACTCATTTATATGTTGTAACTTTTTTACATAAAACAGATTATTTAATGTGTAAATCAATTTTAAACTTTTTTTGTTTCAGATTATGACTTAGTGTACGCATTGGTTGTTTTAGTTTTACTATTGATGATATCTATCGTGTTATCGCTTTGGTGCAAATATGGATCAAGTATATAGATTTCCTTTCATTTTTATACGTTTCTATTACTATGAACATCATAGTTTTCAAAACGTACACAAATTTATCATTTCAATAAATTAACTCAATAACATTTAAATCAATACTTAAGTGATTATAGTACATTTATATATATATATATATATATATATATATATATATATATATATATATATATATATATATATATATATATATATATATACATCTATAAATTTTTTAGAAAAACAAACATCTGTTAAATCAATCTTAGATGATGCAGTTTATTGCAAGTAAGTTCTATTTAATCTCGTGTAACTTTTAAAGTATTGTGCAAACCATAGGTCTAGCTCTGCAATGTTTCTTTCGGGTATGCTTCAATTCAATGAATTCAACACATTAAATAGTAATGAGTAATTGCATAGTTTAAAATACTTTTAATTTTCTATTTTATAATTATTAAACAAAAACTAAAAATTTTATTTAATAATCAGAGAAATAATAGGATAATTCTAATGGTTGCATTTTAAAATCAAAGAAGCATAAATTAAATTTAAAAATCTACAACAATCTCAACTTAAAAATTAAATTTCTATTATTACAGACCTGAGACTAAACATCGTAAGTTCTGCTATTAATATACTTTTTTGGTAAAAATTAATTAGTAATTAATTTGTAATATATATATATATATATATATATATATATATATATATATATATATATATATATATATATATATATATATACCAGTTTATACCCGTGCTTCATTACGGTGTGGATATGGATATTACCTCAGAGTTTACCACGCTTCGCACTGGTGCGGATCCTCGCATTGGGGCGGATATTTTTTAAGCGCACCGCGCTGCGCGCGGGTGTCGGTATCCTCAGAGTTTATCGCGCTGCGCGCATCTCTACGGTGTAAATATGGATAATACCTTAGAGTTTACCGCGCTGCGCGCGGTTGGGGATCCACGCATTTGGACGGATATTCATTCAGTGTCGGTAGCACTTTGGTGTGAATATGGATATTCACAAATTATACCCGTGCTTTGCTACGGTATGGATATGGATATTAGAATCCCCGCAATGGGGCGAATATATTCCTTCCGAGCACCTTGGTGTGAATATGGATATTCACAAACATTAAGTTACGGTTTAAAAAATTTAAGAATCCGCCCAGACATCACTCCTCCCCGAACTCGCGTCGTCATCTAAGCCGCCGCCGAACAACACGTTTACCTGGGCGTCCGCGCCCAGGTAGAGACTTCCACATGGTTCCAAAATCTGTATCGATGACGGAATGACGGAATGACTGACACTCTACCGGCAGCGTTATATTATAGATTATTGATATATATATATATATATATATATATATATATATATATATATATATATATATATATATATATATATATATATATATACTAGGCATACTGCCTAGCTTCGCTTAGGCTTTCAAAAAAGTTGAGAAATTGAATGATTAATTAATAGGTGATTGGCTGTTATGTTAAATGCTTAGGGCCTAAATTTAAACAGTGGGCTACTTTTAATTGTGTCCGTAAATTGATCGAATATTCGCAAACTTATTACTCGCAAGGTAATTAGAGCTGAAAGGGCTTTCATAAAAATTATGAATCAAATATAATACTAAATTCCTTTTGCAATTAATTTTACAATTTCAATACAATACAAAACTTAATTTATAACAAAATATCCATTTAAAACAATGCTATACATTATGATTTTTGTTTTTTCTTAAAAAGAGTATACAAAATATTAAAAAATTGTTACATTAAAAAGTTACCGCCCCTGTTCATAGACTAAAAGACCAAATCTCGTATAATGAGAATTTCAATCGCAGTCATTTTTAGCCCTCTTCGAGGGCTTTGATGCTGACCAACATTTTTCCATACGGCCCAGTCATCTATAGAGGTGTATGCAAAAAATTAGCCAGTTATACAAAAAGTAAGTACCCTAAAATTTGTGTAGAAATTACCCTGTTTTCCCCATAAAATACAAAGATTATATAGGGAAATACGACTGGTCAGTTTTGACCCCTTTACGAAGTTTTCCCAGATATGCCGAGTTTTTTGTGACACCCCAAGGCGTTCTCCTACCACCTCACAAAATATCAATTTTTTTTTCGTAATAGAGCTCATATAAAGAGAATTTCACTCGCGGTCACTTTTTAGCCCTCGTCGAGGGCTTTGAGTAAAACCGACAGTTTTACCTAAAGGTCAATCCATTTACCTAAGAGTATGCAAAACATTAGCCAGATATACTGAGTTTAAGTACCCTAAAATCCGCGTTGAAATGACCCTCTGTTTTTCCCATAAAATACAAAGATTATATAGGGAAATACAACTGGTCAGTTTTGACCCCTTTACGAAGTTTTCCCAGATATGCCGAGTTTTTTGTGACACCCCAAGGCGTTCTCCCACTACCTCACAAAATTTCAAGGGGGGTCGTCGGAGGAAATTTTTTTTCGTAATATATCCCATATAAGGCGCCGGTCAGTCGAGGTCAGTTTTGACCCCCTGTCCGTAGACTTTTCGGCCAACCTTCACCGTCCATCGTGTTCTATCGCCCCAAGGCACCATCGTGCCAAATTTGACGCGCCTGCGGCGCCGAGAAGTGCCCTATCGGGCACCCGACCACTTTGCTTTATATATATATATATACTAGCCGTCCCGGCCAGGCCCTGCTCTGGCTTCTGTGAAAAACCTTCCTGTTAAAGACCATTACCTGTGTGTTTAGTAATCATCATAAACCCGGCATTGCCCACCCAAACCACAACCAACCAAAACCAAAACAACAAAACGCAAACATAACGCTAACACAATTACAAATACAAACGAAAACAAAAACCTAACAACAAACCCAACCACAACCACAAACACCAATACAAACACAAAGAAAAAACAAACAAAAAAGCAAACGAAAACAAAAACCTAACAACAAACCCAACCACAAACACCAATACCAACAAAAAAAAAAAACAACGAAAAAGCAAACGAAAACAAACCAAATTCAAACGCAAAACCAACCAAAAACACAAATACAAACCCACAAAAAAAAAACACAAACAAAAACGAAAAAAGAAAGAACAAAAACGAACCAAATCAAAACGCAACCACTAACGCAAACCCACCTAAACACAAAGAAAACACTAACGCGAACATAAACGCCCGGGGCGGAATCACCTGTTTTAGCTTAATGAACGACTATAGTACCCCAACTTATTCACAGTCTTTTGCACTCACTTAAACGAACGCGCCTGTTTCAATTTAATAAACAATTTTAATACTCCAAGCTTATCCGTAAAATACCTACAACATTTGCACTTGATCAATCCCCGCTAATTATGTAATTATTTTTTTTCCCAACACCAAAACAAAGTAATTAAAAAGTAAATTATTTTCACGGAATGCAATGGTTTTATAAAGGGAAGTAATTGTGTTTTTCCTAATTTATCAAAGGGAAGTAAGTGCAATAGGACTAAATAAAGACATAATTAGAATTTTTGTAAAAGATGATATTTTTTTTAAAACTTGTGTTTAATGAACATGCCGACAATTATTACTATAATTTGAAAAATGAAAATTATTTCCCAACACTATCAATAGTAATTTTTTAGCTCATAAATTTAGACAAATGCGCACGATAATTTTCTAACTTTTAAATTCGTACAATTCCAACGATATACAAATGCATTACATACAGAACTGAGTTTTATATATTAGATATATATATATATATATATATATATATATATATATATATATATATATATATATATATATATATATATATATATATATTTGTTGATAAATATATATAAATAATTTGTGTATATAGCTGCAACATACACTGTGGAGGAGAATGCAGCCTTTATTTGTTCAAAGTAAGTATTGAAAAGCAATAAAAAAGAAATAGTAGTTTCCTTTACGTAAGTAACTACTATATTGTAAATTGAATAGTGTAAACTACTATTTCGTTGTTAAGATGAATTTAAAAATCAAATACCTTTTTGTAATTATTTAACAACAATACAACGATCGAAACATTGTAATGAAAAGAGAATATCTATGAAAACTGAAGTAATTAATGTGTCTGTTTATTAAAGAAATAAATACATTTAACTCTAAAATAAAGCACTTCAGTGTAGATTAGAATAGGGGTCATCCATAAATGACGTCACACTCGTAGGGGGGAGGGGGTCCGTAATTTTGTGACTATGTGTGATGAGGGGGTTCAGATGTTGCGACGTCACACTTTTGCATTATAAAAAAGCAACGTTAGAAAACGAATTTTAGACGTTATTTCGCGTTTTAGATAACTGTTTTAATAAATTGTAATAGTTTAGACAAGATTTTAGAAAAATATCGATGTTTAAAAAAAATTCAACTGCAATTTTGAGGGGGTTGTAGGTTGAGGTGTGACGTCATTTTAGGGGGGAGGGTCTGGCTTTTTGTGACGACGTGTGACGGAGGGGAAGGGGGGAGGTAAAAATCGTCAAAAATAAATTCGTGACGTCATTTATGGGTGACCCCATATAACACGAAATTCAATAAACACACACACACAATTAAATTTGATAAATATTGATGGAACGGAATAACGGCAATGTTAAATTTTCTAACAACAAAAATTCCTCATAATATTACAATAAAATCTTGCCAAATTTTAACACTGTTTCGAATTCTACTTTTCACAGAAGCGATACCAATAAAAGTAAGTAATGCATTAAACGCAATTAAGTAGACTTTTTTATATTAAGTGTTTGTAATGCATTTTTAATATTATACTATTTTATAATTACGTTTCACTCATTTTTATCTAAATCAGCTGAGATAGACGTTACTGAAACTGTTCTAATTTCAAAGTAAGTATTGACAAAATACACACTAGTTATATTACATATTAAATTTCTTTCGTATATAACAGTATACTATACACATTAAATTTAAATAAATTTTATTGCCTTACCTAATATTTTATGATATTTAAAAAATTAGCATTCTTTCATTGTCACTTAAACTTAATAAGAGATATCAATTACTTTCACTCCTGATATACTAGTGCAGGGGTTGGCAACCTTTTGATACGCAAGAGCCAAAGTTACACTTTACAAACTTTCCCAGTTTTTAAAGAGCCACAACATTTTTAGTTCAATATTCGGTATTTGATTAGGATTAGGTAAATAAAGTTATTTGTTATTTAAAATAAATAGCTTTAAATATTACATAATATTTATTCATATAAAAACATAGACATGTTTCGCCAGAATTGTAGAATTAGTAATCAAATAATAATTATTCTAGAACAATCACTTTAGAAGCTGTTAATTTTTTTTACGGATATCACCGGCTCAGGAGGTGTCTCCCATTAGCCAGTCAGTCCTCAACACGGCAAACGCCTTCTAACAGGCTTGGATATCGGTTTGAATAACTTGCATCGTTCGCTTCTATCCTTTGGTTCTCACCAGGCTTATCTTCCATCCCACTGAACGCAGGGTAAAGTCATACCCCACCGTTCAGTAAAAATGAAATTATATAACTATTAATATTTGTGCAAGGAGCTGGAGAGCCGCATCTGGACGTCAAAAGAGCCGCAAGCGGCTCGCGAGCCGCAGGTTGCCGACCCCTGTACTAGTGGGCATTAGTCAGTCTTTTTGCAGCCTCTACCGGTGAACCACTTGACGTTCATGTCAAGGCACAACGTTCGGTCATAAGCCAATATAACCAACTTGAGTCTTTCATTTCGTATGGAAGTTTTGCACACAATAGTTTGTTAACATGTCTATTTTTTCAGAAAAGCCTTTGACGATGAGAAGTCAGTTTTATTACTTTTAAGAACACGCAATACAAATGAATTCGACATTACAAAAAACCTGTTCCAAAGAAAGAGTGAAAGATTTGATACATACAATAAAATAATCCAAGTGGATTTTTTTCAATTCAAAGATCGAATCTTTAAAGTGGTTAATGTTCCTGAATATGAAGCAAACGATAAAACACATTATCTTAAAATGTTGAACAATTCTATCTGTCTAAGCCCAGAAGGATACAGCGCCTTTATAATTGTTTTTACGGCTAAAGAATACAAAGAAGCCAATCGCATTATTTACAAGCTAGTTGATGCATTTGGAAAAGATGTGCTCAATTATTTAATTTTAATTTTAGTAGAAGACGTGGAAAGAACATTTTATCAAAAAGAACTTAAACAATTGAAATATCTATGCGATGGAAGGTGTTTTGTGTATGACTCCAATCCAGATGTGTGTCGTATCATACATACTTTTGTTGTTGACATGAATTATTTGTACGTGAATAATTCTTTTAAAATGCGATTTGAGAAATCACAATTATACACTGATATTTTGCTGGAAAACATTATCCAAGACATTTCTTTATTGTTTCAAAGTAACGAAAGAGCTGAAAAGAGAGAAAAAAGAAAAAAATGTTTACGTCAAAACTGGGATAATCTGAAGATTATAATGGATCCTTCAACAAGCAGATTTGAAGACATCCAATTCCTTATCGATTTTTGTTTAACAGAAATATGTGAAACCGGGATTGCAGAAAACAGTAGCAAAAAAATATCCGAAGATTTTGAGAAATGTTTGGAATCTGTAAAATATGACCATATAAAACAATCAATATCTGAGAGGACAAAATTTCTAGGCAACATTTTCAATTTGGATGAAATTTATTTAACATGTGTAACAGCTAACGTTTAGTCACGTTTATTATTTTCTAAGTAGTTTTAAGCAGACACATTACTTAATCATTATTTTAATTTTTTAAATTCGTAAGGATGTAGCTTTTTTTTGTAGGTATTGCAAGGGTATGAGAATATGTGAGTGTATTGTAAAATGATTTAAATTAATAAACGATTGTGGCGAGCTACGTAAGGATATAGCTGTTGAGGGAAATAGGTTAGGGCGATCTTCGTAATATTGTTCTACGGTGTGAATGTATTCGTCTGTCGTTGTGAATGTATTAAAGTCTTCATTTAAGTTCTGGAAGTTGTCCGTGTCTATCGAGCTTGTGCAATAACTATTGATTGAAATCATCTGCTTCTGTTCAGTCATTCCTATCTAATCGTCATTGTTGAGAAATCCACGTTATACATTATGATGATGTGTCTGAACGATCCCGTCCACAACTCCCTTCGTAATAATGCTGTAATTTATTTGATTTTTATTAAATTTTAAGGCTTACAAATTAATTAGTAATTCTTGATTTGTTGGTTATCATTAGTATCTATCTGCATGATATGTGATGTTTGCAGACGTTGCTTGATTTGCATTAAAGGGGGCAATTTATGTCGTCTAGTGAAAAATATATAGGAATTTTAGACCCCGTCCGGTGTCCAAGTTGAATGGCTTTCTCCCCTCCCATCCCATGCATTTAACAGTTCTCTAAAAAAGCTACTTCAAATAAAAGCCTATGAAATAATTAGTATGTGTATAACACGTACCTTGCAATTTTATATGTTTCTACTTTTATACTGTTCCGAAATTATTTATCCAACCTGGAATGTGTTGAATAAAATAAACAAAATGGTTGAGCAGTATAAATATATTTTTTTTCTTTTAACGTTTCACCCTTTGTCACTCAGCTAATGTCAATTTGTATAGGAAATGACACTCTCTTGGGTCCATCAGCTGTGTAGAGAGGGGACCTGACACAGGGGCAACATCTGGCTCTTCTCGACTTGTTGCTCAGGTTTTTGCGCCTTTATTTAATGCAAGACATTCTCCCAATCGTCTTTAAAGCTGTGAAGCCATTTATTTAAATTTACGAAGCATTTTTACAAAGTCATAATGACCTCGCGAACTGTTTTTATTCATTACTACTAACTAACTTTATATAGATTTAATTACTTGCTAAACTTGCTTAACTTTTTAAAAAACAGGCACCGCTAGTTTAAATTTTTTTATATACAAGTTAAAAGTTTCTTCTGGTGTGACATACAGTTTTTAGTATTTGGTGTAACGCTGAGTATTTGGTAAAACGTTAAGTAATTGGTGTGACGTTAAGTATTTAGTGTGACGTCAAGTATTTGGTGTAACATTAAATATTTGGTGTAAAGTTAAGGATTTTGATGTAAAGTTAAGTATTTGGTGTAACGTTAAGTATTTGGTGTAAAGTTAAGTATTTGGTGTTAAGTATTTGGTGTGACGTTAAGTATTCGGTGTAAAGTTAAGTATTTTGTTTTAAGTTAAGTATTTGGTTTAATGTTAAGTATTTGGTGTAAAGTTAAGTATTTGGTGTTAAGTTAAGTATTTGGTGTGAGGTTAAGTATTTGGTGTGACGTTATGTAATTGGTGTGACGTTAAGTATATGGTGTAATGTCAAGTATTTGGTGTAAAGTTAAGTTTAAATTGGGCGACCTGGTGGAAATGAACAGCAGTCGACACGCGACCAAAAATGAGGAATGTGTCGGACCCCAACCTTCTTTTTTTATAAAGCGCCTTCTATGTGTGTGTGAATAAGTGTTTATGAGTGTGTATTTAAGTAAATATAATTACATATATATATATATATATATATATATATATATATATATATATATATATATATGGAGGACAAAAACGAAATGAATAAAACAAAACACAATCGCTACTGTATTTTATTTATACCTCTATTATCTTAATGAAGTATTAAATAGAAAAATCTGGGGGGGGGGGGGAGGTTATTATGACAAGGGAAAATATCAGTCTGTAACACAATGTTTACGACACCAGTAACCATAGCCACACCCCAAACTACCCCACTTCAATTTGAGAACCACAATATCCTACACATATCTATGCATATATATATATATATAATTATATATATATATATATATATATATATATATATATATATATATATATATATATATATATATATATATAAATTTATATATATATATATATATATATATATATATATATATATATATATATATATATATATATATATATATAATAAAAAAAATATTATTAAAATAACCAATCGGAGTCTACAGAAAAAGATAATTTTGTATGCCTACTTCAAAAAAATAACCGGATATCTATTTATTTTATATATACTGTTAGGTTTTTTAAACGTATAACATTTAACTACAAACTGCGAAATTGATTAGCAAGAAAAGAATACCCTAATCATTTCAAATGACTTAGAAATACATACATTTATATTATATATATATATATATATATATATATATATATATATATATATATATATATATATATATATATATATATATATATATATATATATATATAAATTTACATATATATATATATATATATATATATATATATATATATATATATATATATATATATATATATATATATATATATTTATATATTGTTTCTTATGAAGACGATAATGATTATCAAAACCTGGATCGATTTTTTTTTAATTAGGTAATGTATCAACAACCTATATACTAATTAAAATATATCTAAAACCTTAAGTATAGTAATAATACGCCTTATGTTAATGGTGTACATGAGAAATATAATCCAAATTCAAAATACTGCCTACAGATTGTGTCCTCTTAAAAAATTTACTTTTTAATATTGTCATACTTTAAAGTTTCAAAACATTTCTCAAAATCTTCGGATAATGTCTGGCTATTTTTGTAAGTACTCTCAGCACCACTTATTTCTTTTACACAAAAACCTGTATGTTGTTCTTCAGATTGGTATATTTTTTTAATTAAACATTGTAAATTTGTAAATATATAACGTTTATCCCCAATTAATTAGTTTCCAAGATGCTGTTATAAAAGGAATTTAAATTATTAAATTATTAAATAATGTGTCTGCTTAAAAATAATAGGTAATATAATAATAGTTTCTATATAAAAGATAATCTTATTCGTTAGCTGTTACACATGTTAAATAAATTTCCTCCAAATTGAAAATGTTGCCTAGAAATTTTGTCCTCTCAGATATTGATTGTTTTATATGGTCATATTTTACAGATAGCAAACATTTCTCAAAATCTTCGGATAGTTTTTCTCTATTGTTTTCTGCAATCCCGGTTTCACGTATTTTTGTTACACAAAAATGGATAAGGTATTGTATATCTTCAAACCTGCTTGTTGAAAGATCCATTTTAATATTCAGATTATTCCAGTTTTGAAGTAAACATTCTTTTCTTTTTTCTCTTTTTTTGACGCTTTCAGTGCTTTGAAACAATAAGCAAATGTCTTGGATAACGATTTCAAGCAAAATATCATTGTATGATTGTGATTTCTCGAATCGCATTTTAAAAGAATCATTCACGTACAAATAATTTATGTTAAGAACAAAAGTATATATTTCACTGAACACATCTGAATTGGAGTCATACACAAAACACCTTCCATCGCATAGATTTTGTATTTGTTTAATTTCTTTTCGATAAAAGGTTCTTTCCTTGTCTTCTAATAAAAATACAATTAAGTAATTGAGTACATCTTTTCCAAATGCATCAACTAGCATGTAAATAATACGATTGGCTTCTTTGTATTCTTTTGCCGTAAAAACAATTATAAAGGCGCTGTACCCTTCTGGGCTTAGACAGATAGAATTATTCAACATTTGAAGATAATGTGTTTTATCGTTTGCTTCATATTCAGGAACATTAACCACTTTAAAGATTCGATCTTTGAATTGAAAAAAATCCACTTGGATCGTTTTATTGTAGGCATCAATTTTTTTACTCTTACGTTGGAACACATTTTTTGTAATGTCGAATTCATTTGTATTACGTGTTCTTAAAAGTAATAAAACTGACTTCTCATCCATTATGCTATCGTCGAAGGTTTTTCTAAAAGTAAAAGAGACATGTCAATAAATCATTGTGTCCAAAAACAATCAGTTTAATATAAAATTAAACAAACACACGTAATGAAAGTCGCTTATGGCCGAACGTCGTGCCTTGACACGAACGTCAAGTGGTTGACCGGTAGAGGCTGCAAAAAGCCAGGCGGATACCCACTAGTATATTGGGAGTGAGAGAAATTATAATTTCATATTTTGTTTCAATATGTCTGGCCAGTCAGTTAGTAATGATTGTGCTTGAGACACAGAGAAGGAGAGAGAGAGAGAGAGAGAGAGAGAGAAAGATAGAGAGAGAGGGAGAGAGAGAGAAAGAAAGATAGAGAGAGAGAGAGGAAGATAGAGGGAGAGAGAGCGAGAAAGAAAGAAAGCGAGAGATAGATCAGAGAAAGTACACTGACTGAAGCAGCTAGTAGAAACCGGTGCGCAGACCTTTGACCACAGAGGTTTTGACCACAGCGGGGCTTTGACCATAACGGGCATTTCACCACAGAGGCTTCGAAATAAGGGGCTTCGACCATAGTGTGTTTGTCCACACGTGTTTTCTCAGCAGAGGGTCTTTGGTCACAGGTGGTTTGTCAACGGGTGTTCGATCACAAGCGCTGTATCCGTCTTAGACCACCGGTGTTTTGTCCATATTGTGTCTTTTATCACAGGTGGTTTGTCCAATGCTGGTGTTTGAAAACAAGCGCTTTGTCCATATATGATAAGGATTAATTTTAAAAGGTGAGTAATTATATTTTAAATTGCGACAGATTGTAATAATATGTTAATTCATCATGTATAAATACAAGACATCTAAACCATACAAGTATTACTTCTTTGACTATACTGTAGGCAAGTTTTTGTTTTATCCTTTGTTATCATTTATATTTATGTATTTTCAAGTACATCTACATTTTTTTATATGTGTGAAGCTTGTTATATGTCGCATTATTTGTGTTCCATTTATATTTAAAATAAATTCTATGAGGCCTAGCACCACTCTTAATGTAAAGACTAAAATGTCGTTCTTGACCTTTTACTTTCTCGTATATATGAAGTACATAGAAAGTCTTGTAATCGTTTTACACCTCCTTGAGTCGGAAAAACATAGTTTTGCTATCTTGTCCGTATGACTGTGTGTGTATGTGTGTGTGTGTGTGTGTGTCTGTCTGTGTGTGTGTGTGTGTGTGTAAACACGATAACTTGAGTATCGTAACAGCTGGTTGATGAAATTCATATATAAGTATTATATCAAAATCGTAGATAAGTATCAACTTTTCAGCGATTTCCGATAAACGGAAGTGGAACTTTTTCTACTATGAATTTTTCAAAAGCCTATAACTTGAGTACTGTTTCAGATAGATAAATGAAATAAATGAAAATGTAAGTAAAGTATCAAATTCTCTCTTCTGTTCACCGAAGTAGTAGTTTTCGCTATTTTTGATTTGTCAAAAAACGCATGTGAATTTATAAAGTACTAATTATATTCCGCACTATTATGCACATTTTATTTGTCGTTCACTTGGTTATAATTCTTTTTGCTACGAGATTTTATTCTATTTTAAGTATTTAAAATGAATTTAAAATAATGTCTATATCCCGAGTTGCCATCCCCTGTTGTTTCATCTAAGAATATTCGAAAAAGTTTAGGGGAGATTACTCCCGGTGTATTGTAGTACGTGTTAATTTCTATTAATGGACTCTCAGGAAACATGTATAAAATTGTATTAATTGTATCATAAATTTAATTCAAATAACAGTATATAATTTCTATTTTAATATATATATATCATGGTTAACCACCCCCCACCCCGTTGTGGTCAAAGCCCCGTGTGGTCAAACCCCCTATGGTCAAAGCACCTGTGGTCAAAGCACCTGTGGTCAAAGCACTTAGGACCTAGAAACGGATACTCTTGCCAACGGTGTCTGTTTATTTTGTTTACGTCTTTTTTTTAGTGATTGTTTTGTGGGATTTGGCTAATTTTTTAGCTTAACGTTGACCCACTTGTATTGCATAGGCCTACATTTCCAGACACATTACGCTTAGGTGACAATATCATAAATTATAAGGTTAGGAAATACAATTTAATTCAAATTAATTGTATACAATAATTAAGGGAAACAAGACCTAATTAAAATGGTGTTAATTATTTTTTAATACTTACTTTGAACAAATAAAGGCTGCGCCCTCATCCACAGTGTCTGTTGCAGCTATTTATATAAATTATTTATCAATAAATAAATAAATGAAATAACAAACTAGTATATATATATATATATATATATATATATATATATATATATATATATAAATATATATATATATATTAATTACCATTATATTTACTTAACTTTTACCAAAAAAGTAGGCCAATATCAGAACTTACGATGATTAGTCTCAGAGCTGTAATAGTAGAGTTTAATTATTTTTTTTAGTTGAAATTGTTGTATATTTTAAAATTAAATGTACATAAAATCATTAAACTTATCCTATCGTTTCTATGATTTTCAAATAGAAACTTTTATTTTTATGTTGTTATGTTGTTAATAAAGAATCTTTAAAAGTTAATCATGCAAACGAAAAACTTTTTATAACAATAATAATATAACATTAGAATTTTTTACACGATGCAACAACCCTTAACTATTTGAATGGTTTTGAATGTTTTTTTTTGGAAATGATCATTGTAGAGATAGACTAACGGTATATGATATGTTTAAAGTTTAAATAAATTTGAATTAAATAGAAGAACTTACATGTAATAAACTACATCGTCTAGGCTTGACTTAACACATTTTTGTTTTCTTATATATATATATATATATATATATATATATATATATATATATATATATATATATATATATATATATATAGGTGTGTGTGTATGTGTGTGAGTAAGTGTGTGTGTGTGTGTGTGTGTAAGTGTGTGAGTGTCATACTATGTTCATTTAAGTATTGATTTTAATGTTATATAGCACATTTATTAAAATGAAACCTTGTGTACAATTAGAATACTATGATGTTCATAATTATAACTAAACTAAGGAAAAAAAATGAAAGAAATCTATATACTTGTTCTATGTAAGCACCAAAGCAAAAATAAAATAGTTGCCGTCGATAGTAAAACTAAAACAGCTAAAGCGGTCACAATTAAGTCATGATCTGAAAAAAAAATTTTGTTACTCATTAAATAATCCGTTTTATGTGAAAACTAGAATCATGTAAATTAGTAAAAATAAACCGGGAGTGATCTCCCCTAAACTTTCTCGAATATTCTTATATAATTCGGAATATAGACATGATTTTTAATTACTTAAACTTTTAAAAATAGAATAGAATCTCGTAGAAAAAAGAGTTGCGCACCAAGCGAACGCCAAAACAAAATGTGCATAATAGCGCGCAATATTATTAGTAATTTATAAATTTACAAGCGTTTTTTTTTTTTAGAAATGGGAAATAGTGTAAATTAATACTTCCGGTCAACGGAAATTACTCAAAATTTGAAAGAAGGTAGAGAATTAGATCTTTTACTTACATGTGAAATTTCATTTATCTATCTGAAATAGGCTTTTGAAAAATTCGAAGTAGAAAAAGTACAACATCCGGTTATCGGAAATCGCTCAAAAGATGATACTGATCTACGATTTTGATAAAATACTTATATATGAAATTTCATCAACCTAGCTGTAGCGGTACTCAAGTTATCGTGTTTATACACACACACACACCGACACACACACACAGACATACGGACAAGATTGCAAAATTATGTTTTTCCGTATCAGTGAGGTGTAAAATGTCGAGATTTGTAAAAATCTCGATTTTTTTTTTGCACGATTACAAGACTTTCTCTATAATTCGTATATACGAGAAAGTAAAAGATGAAATAATGCATTTAACATTGAACAATAATAATTAAATTAAGCACACATTATTTATTTTTGCAATATATCTTGTCTTCTAAAATCTATTTGTTATTATAACACACAAGTACACACACATACACCTACACACGTAATTATATATATATATATATATATATATATATATATATATATATATATATATATATATATATATATATATATATATATATATATATATAATTATATATATATATATATAATTTTATTCGGTTATTATGTTAAATATTGTTAAAGAGTTATAGACTTCTAAAATTCGAAAACCTTTTTAGAAGTAACTTAGAAATGAATATCATTTTAAATTTATTATCTTTATACGTACGGCCGGCATCATTTTCCCAGTGAAGTTTGCAAGCGATTATATTGTAACCTGTAAGTATAAAAAAATCATAATACTTGAGCGTCAAAAGTTTTGAAAGATTTTATACCACATTATCTGAAGACTATCAGCACAGTTTGTAATACAGCTTTACGACTAATATGAATTGTAATACTAACCTATATCATCATTTTCTGGCTGCTCTTTAATAAAACTTGCTTGAAATCCCTTGTTAGCAAATGTTGTGTTGTGCTGAAGCCATTCTACAGACTTCACATCTTGTCTCCCATGTAACTTAATGCAGCGACATGCCACATATTGACCCTTATCAACACAAATGTTTCCATGTACCGTAGGATTTTCTGTCACGTAAATATTAGAGATACATAAATGTATGTGTGTAAAGTATTAAACTATATTTTAATTTTAAAGGGAAATTGAACAAGCATCAATCAACACAGATTATTTAATTTAGTTTATACGTTTTAGCTAAAACTTACCAATTGTAATATCTATTGAAACATTGACTCCAATACTGTTGTTAAATCCAATAATATTTGGATATAAGTAGATGTCTATTTCATTTTTCTTAAAATGCAAATCGTGTGTTGGAATTCTATAAGTACATTCAGTTCTGTAATAATAAGGCTCTGTAGAGATCCTGGTGTTTTCACAGGAAATAATCGAAGATGTTTTATTTTTTATGTCAACCTTCATCTTAAAAGAAAGGCATGGATTAAATAATTGTTAAAAACATTACTTAGAAATAGGATTTTAAAAATGTTATCATAATTGTTTCAAAAATTATGTTACACTGTTCTTTATTATTTGTAAAAAAAAATGTCCAGTATAATTCGTGTTGATAAAGTTATTAGTGTAGTATGAAATATTATCAAGACAACAAAAGCCGAAAAAGTTCTAATTATAAAAATTTACCAGGAATTTAAAACATTTTTAAAAACATAGTTTGGAAGGCAATGTAGAAAGGGTTAATATTATACCATTGCTTCAGGATAAATCCTATTTGTTTTACATCTAATTGTAAGTTCATCTGTCGTCCATTTCGCATCACAATATACCTGGTCTGGTTTAGCTGTAGGTTTTTATAGTTGTTAATATTGATGTTTAAGTATATTGAATATTACAATATCAAAGAAAAATCAATTTGAATTTTACATGTAATGATCTTTTTAAAAAGACCGAATAATGATGCTTTAACTTCTTTTTTGAACGATATCTAACAAGACAATATAAAATGTAACAATATTTAAAAATAAAACGATTCACTTACAATAGACTTCTAACAAACAGGAATACATTATTTGTGAACCATGACTGATCAAGTCATTTTTCAAAATCCAATTCCCCTCAGCGTTATTTGAATGCTGCCTTGAGACGTTAGCAAGCTCTGCACTGAACTCTACGCCGTTTTCCGTTCTCTCTATTTTAGCTTCTCGCAGTCGTAGGTCAATGACGACACAGAGTTTAGAACCGATGGAACATTCTGCTAACAGGAGGTCCTCTTTAAACCAAAACACCTTTTGTACACCTTCAGGAAGTAAAGGTGCTGTATATCTAATCTCATATGGCTCTTCTTCGGCTGCTAAATCACAGGTAGAAACTCCTGCATTGGGGACATAGATGACATCCCTTTAAATAATTGTCTTTACGAATGGTTTGCATAAATGTAAGTTGTTAAGTAGTAGCTTTACAAATGTTTTATCTCATTGGTAAAGAATAAACGATGGAACGGTGTTGCCTAGCGGTAAGAGAACTAGACTGCTAACCCAAAAGTCTCGAGTTCGAATCGGGGTTCATGTCCCTGGGTCCACCCTGCTCTGATGGATACCAAACTCACGTTAGGGAAAACAAAGGCAACTAAGTATAGTACTGACCACACTAACCCTTCACATGCCGAGGTCTCTGAAACAGATGAACTCTATCTGCCCCATGTGTCTGGGGCACGAAAAGGTACATCGTTTGTAGATTTTTAGCTATAAGCATTACATCCTAAACCGTTGAACGAGTACGAGTTTTTAAAAATGCTTTTCAATGAGAACACGTTATGAAGGATTTCTTCAGAATTGTTTCCACAAAGTAATATGAGAGTTTTAGAAAAATATACGTTGTGAATTACCTGTGATTAAAGTAACCATCAAACCACAAAACTGAAGAAAACTCACGTTTCTCATGGCTTCTGTCTGAACGAAATGAATGCAAATTAGTATTTATTTAGTGAGTGGTTATTAAATAGTATTGTCGGAGCGAAGTTAAACTTTATCTGATTTGTTTGCAGGCTGATGTTATCACAGAGAGGCGGTTATCTTTTTGTTAGTGAACTACTACAATATCTATAAATATAAAAATAAAAGTATGTCGGCTGTCTGTTTGTCTTCTACGCATTACTACAACTTTCATCCGATCGCTATGAAACTTTGGGAAGTTGTTGAAAATACTCATCGGAAGGGGGGGGGGAGTTCTGCGGAAAAAAAACAAAAATTCTTAGAGGCTGCGATTTGCACACCGGGCCCTTACGTTCATTTTAAAGCATGCAATACGCTATGGTTAGGATGGGCTACAATAGCCATTGACTAAATCGAATGAAACGCGTACTCCGGCGCCCCGGAAGAGTGCGACTCGGCGCCCTGTGCTCTCCCATGAGCACTATAGCGCCGACGTTCGTTTTGAAGATCCCGCAACAATAGGGAGACGGTGGCATGCGACATTCGATGATTTAACCAAGCAAGAGGGGTCGGCGTGGTCGAGTCGGTAAAGCTCATGGTTGCTAAACCGAAAAGTCTCGAGTTCGAACCCTCGGGCAGATGAGGCTCGTTAGCTGGGGACAGCCACTCTTCTAGGAGAGACAACTCCAAAATTAAACAACTGCTGCCTTGTAGTTTGTTCTTGGTTGGACAAAGGCTATGGAAGCAAATCCAAAAAGAAAAGCAGGCTGAAATCGGAGTCAATGGCCTCAATGGCGCATAACCAGTTGACACGTAACGCTTAATTGTGTTGGAGGCGTGGTCGAGTCGGCAAAAAGCTCATGGTTGATAAATTCGAACAAAGTCTCGAGTTCAAACCCACTGGCAGATAAATCTCGATCCTCTTCAACACTAATAATTAAGAACGAAGAAGATGAAGAAGAACCAAGCAAGGGGCCGTACCTGAGACCTGGGTGGTCGCCGAGATGTGTTCTTCCTCACTATTACTTTTAAGGTAGCTGATTAACGATCTCTCAAGGCTTTCATACAGCACGGTAGGAAAGCCTTCATGGGCGGTAGTGTGGATGAACTAGAGCCCTAGGAACTATGATCCAAAAACATAGCGCCTAATTTATTAACATTCAATAACGCTTAAATTAAACGATTGGAAACGCATTGAAGAAATCCTCTTAAAATATTGAATCAGCCTTTCTTCTGAGACGGCGGGTGCGATAATATAAAATAAACTTATCAATGAAGAGGTAAATCTTAAATCGTTATAGGAAATAATAATGAATAATTGTGTGCAACCAGGATATCAGAAATAATAAACTATTGATGCTACTATTTACGCGAGTTGAATGAATTATGAGACCAATTTCTTTACTCTCATAAAATAATCAGAAGTTAATCGAGCCAGAGATATCCTACCATTGGCGTAGCAAGGAATCGGTCATGGGAGGGGTTCAAATAGTTTTCCATATGTATAAAATCATATATATATATATATATATATATATATATATATATATATATATATATATATTTATTTATTTATTTATTTATTTATATATATAAAGGGGTGTGAGTCCATGGGAGGGGTTATAACCCCCCCCCCCATTACCTACTCCGCTGTATCCTACATGTTGTAGACGACTAGAATATCATTGATATGGGCAGTGTAATTAGACTTCACCGACACACTTATCTTAATATACTACCTAATAAGGTAAATGGCAAAAGAGTCAGCCGTCTAATGTCACTATTGTTTCTCGGTTTTTTGAGTATATTTATTGAAGTATCATGCTTGATTGATTCCCGTCGTATAATAATTGTTGGAATTGATGCAAGGACATTTCTTCCAAGCTTTTTCGCAAAAAAGTTTCAAGCCTTGTTTTGGGGTATCCTTCTATTTCTTTAATGCATTTGGATTACATAAAAGCCTTGTCGGGTAATGGATGTACTTGTTGCTGGTGTTTCATAAACGTATGGCTTATCCATCCCCTCCTTTTCCGATTGCCTTGCTTCAGTTCTTGTGTTAGGTATTTTATCTAACTAGACAGCTATTTAGATAAGCCTGTAACCTGTTACTGTGCTAAAACTAATATCTAACCACTCGGCGTACACTCTTGTTTATGGAATTGGGCCAGACAAATCATGACGTAGTTATAAATCGAGTCTTATTCAATTTTCAAGGACTTAGGGTGATGAGCAATGTGCTTACAAGTCAAAGAGTTTACGGGTTAGCAAAATTCTAAGTCAACGAGATTACAAGTCGGAAAAACGTAAAGTACTACGGCCGGTCAGCGGGAAATATTCAAAATTTGACAGATTCAAGAGAATTACATCTTATACTTATATTTGAAAGTTCTTCCAACTAACTGACAGTGTACTCAATTCCGGTTATTGAATGTATCTCAAGAATTGAAACGGCAGGATTATAGACATGCAGGATTATAGACATGCATAGGAAAGAACTCTATGATACAGAATTAATGTTACTTTCAGTTACTAGAAATGGTTCAAAAATCTTTAGAACCAGCGCATATAATGTAATACTTATTTGTGAAATTTGGTCCACCAAACTTAATTTTCGGCTTTCGAAAAACCAGAAGTAGGTTAAGTACCAATTCTGTTTAATGAAAATCGCTCAAAAGGTGAAAGAAAACAGCAAATTTGATACAAATCTTATGTATGTAATTTCGTCACGGAGTGGTCTAGCGGTAGAGAGCTGAACTGCTAACCCGTAAGTCTCGAGTTTGAATCTGGGTTCAAGTCAGTAGACCGTCCCTGAGTCCACCCAACTCTGATGGGTACCTAACTCACGTTAGGGAAAGTAAAGGCGGCTGGGCATAGTGCTGACCACACTATCTCTTCATAAGCCGAGGTCACAGAAACAAGTGAACTCTACTTCACTTGCCCGATAGACTGTTAGGTTTGAAAAGGGAACTTTACTTTTTAACTGAAATAACTCAAATATCGTGTTTACAAATACACAGAAACATAAAAAGAATGCAAAAACTAAGTTATTTCGAATCAGGAAAGATGTATAACGTCAAAGTTTCTAAAAGATCTTGCTTTACATTTTCGCACGATCGCAATGCATTCTTTATATTTCGAATATGGTAAAGTAGCGAGATGTAAAAGTGCGAAAATTGTCAAAATATCTCTGAACTATTCAGCACGATTACAATACTTCTACTTCATCTATACACTGTATACGAGAAAGCAAAACTAACGTGAAGTAACCTAGGTTAAATAATAACCAGATGTTTCACATTAGTAAGAGGAGCATTGATTGCTATACAGAAACTCCGTGATTTATCGTCTGAAAGCCCTACTTTCAAGTAATCTGTACTCAAAACTTTGACGATAGAATTTTAAAATAAAATTAATGCCTACTTTTTAAGTAGCATGAACTTCTATGTCATGGTTATGTAATATTTTCAGTGACAAAATAAAAACAATCAAACAATCGTTTTTGGCTTTTTTTCATTTCGTTTCGTTTACGAAAATGCTAAAAACTTATACCCGTCCTTGCAATAAAATACTAGATTCTAGTACAAAAACTATAACAAACTGGGCCATGATAACGTTATGACTGACAACAACTCGCAACACGGGGAGTGAGCAGTTCAACGTGACAGGTTAAAAAGTATAACAACATTTACCCAATCGTGTTCAACCACTACACATCACCTTATCTTTCTAAGTGACAAATGTTTGCAAACAAAATACACGCGTGTCAGCCTAAAGCATATTATACAATGATAGCAGGTATGCTGGTAAGATTAGGATAAAGATACTTAAGAACGACACATGGGATATAAATTAAAGTTAGAAGTGGCTCATAGCTGATAACACTAAACTTTGATTCCGCTATGACACACTCCACATCGTCGTCCTCCTTCTCCGTATATAGGCTATATATATATATATATATATATATATATATATATATATATATATATATATATATATATATATATATATATATATATATATTAGATGCGTACCCGTGCTTCGCCGCCTTGTGAAATTTAAATAATACATTTTTGTAGGACAGAACGCGTTCTCAATAAACCGGTAGTGATCTCCCCTAAACTTTCTCGAATATTCTTATATAAAACAACAGGGGATGGTAACTGGGGATATAGTTATGATCTTTAATCCATTTTAAATACTGAAACTTTTAAAAATAGAATAGAATCTCAGTAAAAAACAATTGCGCACCAAGCGAACGCCTAATAAAGGTGTGTATAATAGTGCGCAATAGTATTAGTACTTTATAAATTTACATTAGTTTTTTGAGAAATCGGAAGTAGCGTAAAGTACTACTTCCGGTCAACGGAAATTACTCAAAATTTAACAGAAGATAGAGAATTAGATCTTTTACTTACATGTGAAATTTCATTTATCTATCTGAAATAGTACTCAAGTTATAGGCTTTTGAAAAATTCAAAGTAGAAAAAGTACCACTTCCGGTTATCCGAAATCGCTCAAAAGTTGATACGGATCTACGATTTTGATATAACATTTTGTATATGAAATTTCATCAACCTAGCTGTAACGGTACTCAAGTTATCGTGTTTACACACGGACACACACACACACACACACACACACACACACACACACGGACACACAGACATACGGACAAGATTGCAAAATTATGTTTTTCCGTATCAGTGAAATGTAAAACGTCGAGATTTGCAAAAATCTCGATTCTTTTTTTTGCACGATTACAAGACTTTCTCTATACTTCGTATATACGAGAAAGTAAAAAGAGATTCTGTCAAAAATACTTTAATATATTATACAAAGCTTTCATCGTTCAGTAAAATACGTTCCTAGATTAAGTCCCAGCAAAAAAAAATTAAGCTTTCGATATTCAATAAGCTCCTAACTTGCAATAATCCCCCCAACCGATAATAAATTAAGCTCCTGTCTAACTTTAAGCTCCCGCTGTATATCACGCACTTATTAAACTC